GGGGGGGGGGGGGGGGGTCGTATTCCCATTTCCCAGCCCAAATTTTGACTAAATCCCATTGTCCCAGAGCACAAATCCCATCATCTCAGTGGCTCTCCTGCTCAAATCTTAATCCCATTCCCATTTTCTATTGGTTTTTTTTCTGATGAATCCCAGTCCCAGTGGATGAAATCCCATTTTCCCACCCAAAAATAAGCAAATCCCAGTTCCCATTTTAACCACTTCAGGACCCGCTCTATTTATTAACTTTGCAGTACCACACTCAACAGTACCACTCATCCCCAGAGGGCTTATCTCTGGAGACTTATCCCCACAACTTATCCCCAGGGAACAACCTCTGATAATCTCCCGGTTTCAGGCCTTTCAAACTTGGCATCACTGGACATGTATATATTCGACAAATTACAATTTGTAAGAATAAAAGAATAAAAGTATGCATTCTTTGTAATAGATATTCCTGGAAATAGACAACTGAATATTTATTTAAACTGGACATTTGAATCTAAAACCAAATACAATAACTGAAGTAAACTTTAACATATTCTAAACTCTTCAGCTTCCAAGCCAAAATAAATTATATTTCAAGTCCCTTATTTCAAGTCCCTTAGTTCCCTTAAGGCCAATATTTCAAAAAAATAAAATACGCATAAACTACAACTGTGCTAAGCTAATGACCATTACACTGTATTTTATGTGCACAGGAAATTATTAACCCATTAATTAAATGGCACCACACACTCCTATTCCATATCTGATGATCAACAAAATTGTCTGGCATTACACAAACTAAAAGGACAGTTAAAATTATTACTTAGGGTGGGCACATCGGCACAATGCCACTTAAATTAAGGTTAATACAGCCATACAGGTACACTAACTACATTACAAACAATTGTTAGAGAATGAAGCCATTTGTGACATCCAGAATTATACAAAAGCCAAATTGAATAATTGTTTGATTACACATTGCAAAGTTATTAGCCTCCATGGAGTAAGGTAAAGTAGATTGTTAGTTTGTCATATTTAGCTATTTGCCCAGGCCTACAAAATATATTTCTCTTCCTGGCAGCAAAATTCAAAAATTAAAATTCCTGTGTAAGTCAACTATAAAACGTCCTGCATATGTAAATTCCACAGAAGTGTGGGACTATGATGCTGCACAACTCGACTTGCAATTTAATTTGGAATTTTCAAAAAAAAAATATAATGCATTCTGATTATCTATTGTCAAATGCAACCGCATGTGGATGGGAATTAAGTTATGGGAATAAAATCCCCGAACCGGTTGAGAAACACTCTTTTTGCCTCGGCGTATCTTTGCCGTTTGTGTTCTGCCATGTTCTGATATTTTGTAGGCCGAATTAACCAGCGCATTGTGTGTTATATGGTCGGTTTGACCGACCTCTGTGCTCATTAATTGGATCATCCAATCACAACTCACTTTCCCACCACTTCTTCATTTCTGCTATGGAAGTTGCAATTTCCATCCAGCTAATGCGAATAATCTGGCATTTTTGTGTTTAAGATAACAAAAATTTCATGCAAGGTGCACACAAGAAAATGTCCTGCAAAGATATTTTGTTAAACATTTCCTGGTAGCAGTGCTGCTGGCAGGGCCATAGCTAGAAGACTTAGAACAATAATTGGGGGGGGGGGGTATATTCATATATTTGTGTTCTGCCCCACAGATTTCTTTTGAAATCAATTGTTTTTACAGTATGTAAACATGAATATACACCCCCCCCCCCCCATATATTGCTTTACTCTGTCTAACACCAGAAGAGAGGAATGATGGGATGTACTGTATTATAGGTATCAATGTTTGTGTGTTTTTGCAGGGTGGCAATCCAGCCAAGATAGGAAGACATTAATACATGTAGTCTAACACCCAATTATTCATTCTGACACCATGCAACAATTTTTGGGTAGCAATCCCACAGCCAGCAGCATAATTGGCAGGTGTCCCAGAGACAATTGACAGGGGGGCCCGCAGCAAAAGTAACCATAATTTTTTTTACTAGTACATTTCCAAGGAATTAATTAAATAATGAAAAATAGAATAGACAAGGGAGTTGGGGTTACATTATGCTACTGCCCACAACACCTGAAATTTGAAGTAAATAGTAATATAAACAATAGTAGTAATATTTTAAATGTGTGCTAAAGTCACTCCCTTCACATGCACTCAAAAATGGATAACAAGGCCTGGTAGTATGGCATGGAAAGTCTAATTTGATAAATTTGCTCCCCAAATTCTCGAATGGATTGTCACTATGTGACAACTGAGTGGGTGATCTGCATATGACCAGCGTGCAGTGAAGACATCAAAGACTTCGAATGTACGCTCAGATCATTGTAGAACAGAGGAACAATTTTTTTTTGTTGCCGGGGCTCGGCAAGCCTAACTATCTGAAGCTAATAAAGACTGATGATGATTTGCTTTGTTTTGATGATTCAATTTGCAATTGAATTTCAGTTTTGCGGGCCAGCTAAAAATATAAATATTTTCTAATACCGAAATAAAAGATACAAATCTGAAGACACAAGCTTAAAAATAACACTCTAAATAGTGTTTTGGATTACGGTTCGAATAAGACTATTACGAAAAAGATATGTCCAAAGGGTCGAAGTTATGGTCGGCTAAATGTATGGCTACTTTACATTGTTCGAGACGAATTGAGTAATATGATGAATTATGGCATAAATTCCAATTTTTCAGTACCTGTTTTCAATAATACAAAGATATACAGGTTTGTGATCCATCTTTTAAAGTAATATAGTAATGATTAATCTGTAAAAAGATTAAACCCTAAAAACGCTTATTCAAATAGTAAGATGTAGTGTACAGACTAAACAGTTCACTGTCCGAAAACTAAGCAACATAGTGTATAGCTATATACAAAAGTTTTGTGCTGGTATACGATCGCACTTCATATGTATAACAACACTTCAATTAATTAAACCTCAAGTCATATAAATGCATAATTGTTTACCATTTTGTCTTTCACGTTCCTCCATATTCATGACCAGTACTACAGAAATTCTGTATGTAAATTTGTACTGTATAAACTGTATAGAGATGTGTGGTTTTCAATTTTGGCTTGCTTTCTTCACTCCTGGCCAAGACGTGTCAGCAATATGGTTCCGAATTTGCTGAGCGTTCATCATTAAAATTAAGGCAATACCTTAATTTGAGAGCTCTTCTACAATCAAGATATAGATTTAATTTTGGGAAGAGATCATGTTGGTTGAGGAAAGACCCTGGCTGTGGCTGGTTACATGTCACACGGAAATTTGATCACCCAAGGGGGGAGTAGGCAAAGTATCAAATTACATGCTTCCACTTTCGCACTTTACACTTCTAGTGCAAGGAGTGAGTGTTTTGTACCGATCAACTTTGAGAATCATATATACTTCAAAATACTTGCCAAATTTGATGTGTTTGCTTTTAAATTATAACAATATGCTAAACAGATTTTTATAGCAACAGACAAGTCAGGAAATCAAGCAATAAAAACGTATGATTGTATGCTTTGAAATTGTTCTGATGTTCTCAGGTTTGCCGCTTGGGAGCACATTCATTTCACACATTTCTGCTCTGCATCTGGTTCACCTATTTTCAAAATGTTATGATATGTCACTAAATTGTTGTTATTTGGAAATGGTATAAACTTTGCATAGATTCACTTGTTTATTTCCAGTTCCTAAGACTGATACCTAAGACCTCACATTTGTCGGTCCGGGGTATCGTCCCCGAGAAATTTTGAAATCTAGGACCTCTGAAATGCGATTTCCTACATTCTGAGCGAACTCTTTTGTTCCAATTCATACATCAGAGTCACAAAATTCTTTGCTGCATTTTTGGAAAGCACATAAAAAACTTGAACCTATATCGCAAAAACAACAATTTCTCCATATAAGAAAAAAATATTTGCTTGTACAATGTAATAGCAGCAGTGGTACATAAGTCTCTATTAAAAAATAGTCAGTACTATGCTTCTTGTAGCTTTAACG